AATAGAAGAAGAAGAAGAAGAAGAAGAAGAAGAAGAAGAAGAAGAAGAAGAAGAAGAAGAAGAAGAAGAAGAAGAAGAAGAAGAAGAAGAAACAAATCTAAACATCTAAGCACAGGGAAACTAACAGAAAATTCTGGCTCCATCCACCTGTACCCCAGACTCCCACCTACTCTGCATTCACCCAATGCGGCACTTGCACTTTCAAAAAACGTTAAGCGTGGCCCCAGCCTCAATCTAGATGCAAGCCGAAGAATGTGTAGAAATGGTTTATACTCTTATGTCACATTTAACATTTCAAAAGACAGCTCTCCAAGTGTACTCTACAGAAATTTGCCCAGTTGCTCCCCGTTTATTCACTATTGTGTCATGGTGTCAGGTATGTATGTATGTATTTAATTTATATAGCTGCCCATCTCATGAGGGCTGTTGCTTTGAATACCGTAACCTAATTGGGTGAATGACAACTCTGCCTAGAAATATGAGATGCTGAAGAAGGAAAACCGCACAGCTGAAGCTGGGGTTCATTTTCTCCCTGCAGATTACAAGGGATGGATTGATGCGGTTTGCATGAAGCAAAAAGCCTTCATCTGCAAGCATGAACTTTAGAAAATGAAGACGTTTCACTTCATGCTTGCACATAAAGAATCATCATCGTGGAAGTGAGGGAATCAGGAAGAGATCCATCCTGTTACATCAAGATGCCCTTCTTTAAAACATCACATGTGTTCATTTCATGACCGGTTTCTGTGGTCATCTGCTTCCTTCGTATTTGGCACCACACAGCACCAAGTCTCTGACATGGTTATTGCATAAAGGTCATTGTCAATAAATATTATTACAGTCTGCATTTCTTCATTTTATTTTCCTCTGAACTCTCTGTATACTGTTTCCTGTCAATGACCAAAGTAAGGGTGTTTATATCTATATATCTATATCTATATATCAGGATAATCTATGCATCGTATGCCATAATAATTTTTTAGTCATTAACAGCTGTCAGATAATCATTTTTGCTATAATGGATATTTTGAGGCTCAGATGGTCTGTAGTTCTAAATTCCATTGTAAAACCAGCATAACTGTCCAGCAGAACATGTAGTCAATCTGGGTATACCTGCAAGATGATGGAACAGCATACACATTGCATGTTGAAATCCCCAGGTTCAATGACCTACATCTCAAGGTCAGAAGATCAGGAAACAGAGCTGAGAAGGAACCTTGTTGTAGACCTTGCTGAGATGTGCTATCTAGAGAAAACTACAGTCTGAAAATCAGGCAAATTCATATTTGCCCTGACCCAGAGATTCCATGGTAGAGGAGAGATATAATATGATAATTTAGAGTTGAAACTAAGACAAATGTAATAAGGCACTTATAATAGAATCAGTACACAAAGTCCTGTCTAGGTCTAATGAATCAATTCTAATGCAAGACAGATAATACAGTTCTGTCAAGCAAGATTTGCTGCTAGAGATTTAGAGACTGGGATTCAAGTTAGCTTATGTGCCAAAGTGATATGTCTAAGAACATAAATGCAACACTTCTATGTGATGATTCACCCTTGTCAGAATATCTACAGTATAACTAACATGCCATCTTCTTTGCTAAGATAAAAAAGTGGGTATTATTTTTATTTGCTTTCCACTAGGTTATAGAATGAGTGTTGATTTTTCAAGGTTTATTTCCTTATCTAAATAAAGATGAACTCAGTGCCCTTTCTTCAAAGCTGTCATAAGCTGCTTTTTCCTTGATTAGTAAAAATGAAAAGGATGGACCATAATTTTCTTGAAGCACTTAGCTCAACTTGTGGTTAAGATACATCCATTTGGTCTGTAGGTACCCGTTAATTAGAAAACTGTCTCTAAAGAGAAAGATGGTGAGTAAATCTCTTGATAAATGAGTTCTTGCAGGAAAGTATGTTTTCACATCTTTTGAGATAGAGTGATAATGGAAGGATGGTTCTAATGGGAACAATATTTCCCACCCTGTCATTAAACAGGGTGTTGATTGAGTGACGAAACATGGAAGCCACAATGAAACTGAATGCTTTACATAGTGATAGAAACAGGGCTGCAGAGTTGTTTAGCAGAGGGCCCATTTCACATTTGTTCTCTGGAGAACAGGGAAGATGAAAACTCTAATGTGAATTTATTAAATTTCACCAGTATGGATTACCATACCTCTTCCAAATCATTATCAATGTTTGCAAAGCTCTGGTAAATGTAAAGTATGAACACAAAAACTAATGTGAATTTAAATTTGTGGATCATGAGGTTACATATGTGAGTTTGTTTGAATGTAGATAAGATATGGATTTAATACATTTTTTTTCTCCTTCTCATTTATGATAGCCAAAAATTTTAGTTGCAGATAACACAGCCTCTGTCTGGATGAAGATGGCAAAGTCTCTGAGCAAAATATCCTTTGGAGTCTATCACATACTTGGGTACTCCATTCTCTAGGTTCTCTTATTTTATTCAAATGCCTCTTCTTGAATAGTCAAGAAGGGCTAACATCTAAAACAATGCACACTGATACAAAAATAAGAGTAATCACAGAGACAGAAAATATAAAGTGTGACAAGTTGGCAGTGTGTAGCCAACTTTGGCTAATTGTGCAAAAGCTAAGGAGAGTTGGATCACTTTGGTACTTGGATAGGACCATAAAAAAAACCCTACATCTGTGGGTTAGACCAGAGCTGATGTTTAACAGATCTGGAGGATACAGCCAACAGCCTGAGGGCAAAAACTTGGTGTCCTCCTTCAGCGTACCCAGATGGGCCTCTTTCTTGGATATCTACGTGAGAGAACAAACCTTTCACCTGACTCTAAATTAATAACTAGAGCTCAGTCACTTCAAGAACAAGCTAAAAGAGGAAGACAATTCAGCTGGTTGCCAAATAGGTGGTTTGGTTGGATGGTGAAAGAGTCAGAGTGAGGGAAGTTTTTCAAGTCCAATTGAATATCACACAGTGAATGGTATGATTCCAATACTGAAGTCTGGGGGTTATGGCTAAATAGGGTAAATATGATCTGGTCAAATTATCTATCTATCTATCTATCTATCTATCTATCTATCTATCTATCTATCTATCTAT